CCATGACAAATAAAAAAGTTTAATTCCAGATCACGCGTTTTCAGAGAAAGAATTTTTTTGATTCAATGTCTATGAAAAATCCCAAGAAGTCTGGTTTCCCGACATATTTTTAATACCTTATATCTCAAAAATATGCCCATTAGCGTTAACTTTGCTGTGGACTTTAACTTGACATTTAGATATCGCCGACGATTTATCAATGAACAGTATTTACTTCCAATCATATGTCGATTCGATATACTGAGTCCCAGCGAACTTGAAATTAAAGACACCAGAGTCTGACACATCTATTTCATGTTTAAATGTTTTACTAGAAAAGACGTTAATTGTAACCTAACAACAAAATTTTATGATAAACGTGATGATTGCAAATATTCTATCGTCAACTTCCCTTACTTATGTAGCAATATACCCTTATCACCTGCATATGGAGTTTATGTCTCCCAGTTGATTCAATACACAAGAGCATGCTCTACGTACGATCAATTTTTTCAACGAGGCAAGCTATTTACGAACAAGTTAATGAAACAAGGATATCAACAGTCTCGTTTGAAGGCATCATTTCTCAAGTTCCATGGTCGATACAATGACCTTATTAGCGAAATCAATATGTCATGTTTAAGGTCAAATGCTGACTGACGATTTTCATACTAATTGTTAGACCGTTATTTACACACTGAAATTTCTGCAGATTTTTCCGTTTACCCGATCATAATAAAGAGAACACGGCAGGTGTGACCGGTCGACAGGGGATGCTTACTCCTCCGTGGCACCTGATCCCGCTTCTGATCTTTCTGGACGTCCGTGTTTGCTCTACTCCCGATTTGTATAATTGTTTAAATGGACAATGAGCTTGAATACTGTTCGATATCTCCATATTTCATTTTTCTCTTTCTTATTTTGTTTCAAATAATGGATACATCGAAAATTGAAAAGTTAAATACAAGTCATCTCAGCAGAATATATCTTTAATTAGATTGGATCTCATGTCATATAATATTTCCTAATCATCATCTCCCCTTGAAAAGGAATATGGCCCTTCATGTGAACAAAACTGAACTACCGTTACCCAAAGTTTATTTCCACCAAGTTTAGTTGAAATTTACCACGTGATACTGAAGACGTTGAAATGTGAAAGTTTACAGATGCCGCACGGCAGACGGATGAAAGATAAACGTTAACTCCAGCTGATGGCTCGGTTGAGCTGAATTTCTATAATAACGTTCCGTGGTAATGCGATGATTTAATCTGTATTATAGTTTAAAATACATATAGTCTAGATTAGGAGCTATAAATGTTGTTTTACCTGTTGGTATTTTTACCATACTTTCTAATACTACCTAATATATTCGATAAACATACTTAAAAAACATCACTGAATACTTGTTACCTTGTGTTTAGAAAAAGTATATGTGATATCCTAATTTTCAAATCGATGTCCCATACATACTTAAATTTTGGGAAAACACATCATATATAATGCATCTCATAATTATAATTATTTAAATTGATAGATATATGTACCTGCACGTCCACCTCACTCGGCATTTCAGTTGCGATTGCTAAAAATGGAATACTAAATCAACTTTCTGCAAAATCATCTGATTGGTTGAGAGATATATACCCAAATACACATGTGAATTAGCGAGGTCATAAGAAAGATCATGTCACAAGTCATTTAGAATACTCTTTCCTACTGTATCGGAGATAAAGGGCGGGGCCCGGCTCGAGCTATCGCTCTCACCTTAAGCCCCGCCCTGTATCTCCGATACAGTAGGAAACTCGTATTCTAAATATAACATAATCTTTCCCAATAATTACACTGATAGCATCAGCCGTCTAAAGGCCAGTATAAGCGATAGGATTTGTATTGTATTATATGCTACTTTTGCATTGAAGTTCTCTTCTGTACACCCTTTAATATATAAGATAATAGGTAAACTATATCATGTCAATCGTTGCAATATTCGATCTTATCCATTTGTATTGTATAATTTTCCATTTCTTTTTGTTTTTGTTTTATTTTCCATTTGTATTGTATATTTTTTTTTCATTTGTATTGCAATATTTTTATTTGTATTGTATAATTTTCCATTTGTATTGTATAATTTTCCATTTATATTGTATATTTTGTAATTTGTATTGTATAATTTTTCATTTGTATTGTATAATTTCTCATTTGTATTGTATAATTTTCCTTATGTATTGTATAATTTCTCATTTGTATTGTATAATTTTATTTTGATATTGTTTACTTTTCAATTTGTATTGTATAATTATACAATACAAATGGAAAATTATACAATACAAATGGAAAATTATACAGTACAAATGGAAAATTATAGAATACAAATTCGAAATTATAGAATAAAAATAAAAGTAGACAATGCAACTGCAAAAGTATAGAATACAAATGGAAAATTATAGAATACAAATAAAAATTATACAATACAAATAGAAAATTATACAATGCTGATGGAAAATTGTAGAATATATTAAATGGAAAATTATACAACACAAATAGAAAAGATAGAATATTGCAATGTTTGACATGCCATAGTAAACGTAGAAATTTGAACTTGCCTTTTAAGGTCAGACGACACGTACCTCCAAAATTGTATACATTGATACTATATCAAAATTCATTCATAATTGTCATTCTCTTGTGATTTCTAAATTGTTTTCAATATATTAAAAAAAAAAATAATTACACATTGACATTGACAATTCAAAAGATTACCCATAAGGATTATATGAGAAATATCACCCTCTGCTATCTTGCCAAAATGCCTGGTAAGGTACCTCAATTTTTGGTGCGGAAACTTGTTTAAGTGGCGCTAGCTATACTTCAATGACAAATTTTTGGGAAAATATATATATATTTTCGAGAAACGTGTCGTCTGTCCTTAACAGTGTTGTTGTTCAAAATAATATCAGCAATGCCTGGACACAATATTAATAGTTCTTTTATTTTTTTCAGTCCTATACAATGCTATACAATAATAGCAGCGAAGACTTTGCATGTCTGCTCAAGCTTCTGATACAAAAAAAAATGAGTTAATAATTGTGATATATGAAATACTTTGCGATTCTGAAAATCTATTAACTTTTAAAATGAATTTAGTATCATCTACACGGTTTTTAAAACTGGTAATTTAATGAAAAATAGAGTTGTAATACATAAACCTGCTGTAGATTGGTTGAAAATAAAAGTTCAATTATAAGACTTCTTTTTTAAAAGGTCATATATGGCGTTTTTTTTTTTATAAGTTCAGACTAACTAAAATTAAAAAGATCTTTCTATCTGCTTTATTACTTTATATAAAGATAGGACTTTCCTGTAAATTATACAATCTAAATCAATCATGTTTCAAAGATGTTAGAAATTTAAAACAATAATTATATAACCGATTTATTTACCGACTCCGCAATTAAATACAGACACAGTTTAAAGTCAACTTGACTATGGAAACATGAGATTATTCAAGTTCAAAATCGGTGAAAATTTTAATTTGAACGTAAATAAAATATATCATGTTTATCTACACTCAATCTCGTGTTTTTATTTTTTGGCTCAGATACGTCATATATAGCTTTAAGAAACACAGCATTGCTGCAATCTTAATACAGTTTTATAAGATTGAAAAATCTTGTGATACACTGTATAAAGAGTACAGAAAGATTCTGTATTATTATAATATTTTTGTAATATAATACAAATTAATAAAAAAAAAATAATAAGGCTGAATTGTCTACTATTTTTTCCGTTTAGCCGATTATGACAAGGAGCACACAGTGGGTGTGACCGATCAACAGGGGATGCTCACTCCTCCATGGCACCTGATCCCACCTCTGATGTTTTAGAGGTCCATGTTTTCTCCATTTGCTCACAATTCTACTCACACGGGTTTACTTTGTGTAGTTTATCCTTACAACAACGTACTAACAACAATGTAACTTGTAAATCATTAACATATATTTTTTCTTGAGGATATGCATAATTATCTAATTTCTAATTGATTATTCACATCGGTTATATGTAGTAGCATAAACATTAGACAACACCGAGTTCACGACCATCTTCCCTAGTATATAAATACATGTATAATATTTATCTTACTCAAGAGACGATCCAAAATGGGAAACAGGTAAACAAGTTGTTTCTATTTCATTGTAAAATAATAAGAACTTTCTTCATTTCCTCACCTACAATGGAAAAATGTGTAGATATTTGAACTCTCTTTTCTTGCTTTTTGTCTTACTCTCGCGTGTTTGTGGAATCGGTTTATAATTTCTCTGCGTGGATTACCATCATATTCTACATGTGACTGCATTGCATAGGGTTTAATACGTACTCCACAATTTACAGTTTGCATTGTGTTTCAATAGGCATGCATTTAAGACATGATACACCTACATATTTGTATCTGGACCATTTGCGCACAAGTTTCGGAGAATCATTGACAAAGGTTCGCTTCAATTTTCAGCCTATTCTTACATAAGGATTTTTCGTTCTTTCAGATGTCGACAATCTTGTTTGATATATCTTCCCCTTATTATAACATTTCTTGTCTTCGTCTATTATCATTGGGATCAAAACAAACATGCCTCTAAACGGGATTCACACACTGCAGGAAAATATAGAAGTCTGCTTAAAAATACCGGAAACATCAAGAAAAATGAACGTTTGAAGTTGGATGATTTTGATGGAAGAGAGCAAATAGAGAGACATGAGCAAGGAAAAGACATTAACTATGATGTAAATGGAGATAATTCATCGATAGGGACGAAAATCCTCACCATGTTTAAATATTACATTGGACAAGCAAAAGATATGCTGATGAAAAAAGAAGAGGACCAACTCAGCAAAAGCGAGGTCAAAACGGAAGTGGAGAGATTCAGAAAAAGGAATTCTCTCAAGGAAGCCAATGAGTAATAAATTTGACAATTAAAAACTTGACAATTTTGCTAAATATATTTACTTAGAGTCTTATAAAGCATATTATTACATTCAGTATCAATGTGCATAAAACAATATTTGTACATAAATGTATAACTTTACTTAAATTAAACATTGAAAAGCTATCTGTGGCTAAGAAATAGCAAATTTATGTTTCAATAATGACAGGTATAATATTGCTATACAAAGCTAAAAATGCACTGAACTGTAAATACAAAACATCACAGTCTATTGATAATAATTGTCATTAGGGATAATAAATTATCACATTGTTGGAGGCAAATAAATAAGCAAAAAATGAACCTATTTCACAAATTAAGGGTAAAGTATGCTGCAATTTTATGCATCATCAACTAACTGCTAAGAGAGAAATAGTTCTTTGCATTCAATAAAAAATAAAACATTTTTTTTTTAAAGTTAGCATTTGCTAATTTCCGAAAACTATACATTACATGCAGCAATACCTCACAACCAGAATAAACGTACATGTACATGTATTATTTACTTTAATTCATAACACAACAAAATATTTAATTAAAGTGTATATTAATACTTACAAGTATGTATACATATAAGAAAAATAAACATTGAAAATTGTATCAAATATGTCTGGAATGTATTTTATGGAGTTATTTGTCCATCTGAGATTTTTTCTCAGAGATAACTCCATATTTATAAATATTCTACAACTCCATATTTAAAAATATTGTGATTTATATTAAATATTGCACAACATAATTTTAAGTACTGAAATGTCCACACATGTATATATAACAATAAGAAGGCATTTGAATGTATTGGATATTAAGATATGTATTAATACATTTACATATATGTATAAATTCATAACAGAAAAATACAGTTACCAAAGGAAAGGTACATTTAGACCCTCAGGCTATAACACCTCATCAAACAGAAAATACTTTTTTTTTACTCAAATATATTATAAAGATAGGAAAACATCAAAACAAATGTATCATACTTAGGTAAATAATAGTGTTATCACATATACAAGGATTTCTTTATAAATAGAATATTTAATCCTAGATATTAGTGGATTTCTAATTCTGAACCCCCAGCATTCTGAAAGCCCAGGCATACTTGCAGGGCATTTTCCCATCAGCAAACACAGGAAGTTGAATGGTTATCCCTCCTTGGGCCTCTGGCTTGAATTTAACCTGCTGTTGATAACCCAGCAGGTAAATGACCCCTGTGTTGTCTAACTTTGGTGCCCCGAGCCGGAGTGTGCCATTGGTTGGCCAGTCAAGAACAATGGCATAGATAGCAGTAGTGGTGCTTATCGTAAGTTTGGTGTACCTGTCATGTACCAGAAAATGTAAATATGTAAATATGGACGATCATGAAAAAAAAGTTAGTATGTCATGACAAATTTGATAATTTCTCTAACAATATTCATTTGTTTTTTTACTCAGTATGGTATATTATAAATATGACCAAACATAGAAACTTTTTGCCATTGCATTAACAAAGATAACAAGTTAATTGACGAGCACTTAAACACAAGTTAATATTGATTATAAATTATTAAAATTAATTGATAAAACAATGCATGAAAGAAAATGGATAATGTAAGATGCAAAGAAAAATCAATACAATACTTTAGTATACAGAAAAGAGTATTCAGGTATACAATAGTAAAATAATATGTAATAAACATGAAGAAAGCACCAAGCACTCTGAGATATTCTGAACAAAACAAGACATTTCCATGAAAAGAAACTGCCATCATTTTTTTTTTTTTGGTCACAGGATCATTGTAGCACTCCCTGAAACACAAATGTCCATGCCCACTGACAGGGTAATTCCTCAGTAGGAATTTGAGGGATCTCTAGAAGGACCCCCTGTGGGTGTAAGGTTGTAAAGTTCACAGGCTTGTCTTCATGACCCACTAGATATACAGTGGTCCACTCTGCTGTTTTAGGAATTCCAAGATGAACTGTTTTATTGGTGGGCCAGTCTAGAAATATTGCGTACAACATTTGCTCCATGCTGATTTTTACAGCTGTATACCTGTTTGAGGAAAAAGATCTCCCATCACCAGCTTAAGAATGAAAAAAAATTGTTTTCAGTAGTGGATACAAAATCTGGTTTAGAATTTTGAATTTGTTGTGTAATTTTTAGAACTTAAATGATTGAGAACAAAAAGAAAAAAAAACATCAAGAGAATACATATTTTCTAACAAAATTTTTGCCAAAACTAAGAATTTTCATTAAAATCTGCAGCTGGTTCAAAATGTATTTAATCCATTTTAGAACACAGTGAAACCTGTCTAATCTGACATGTACAAGGAAACGAATTTTGTGTTGGAATAGACAGGATGTCAGATTACACAGTGTAAAAAAAACCCATTGAAAATAGTAAAATGGGAATGAAGGTGAATGTTGGAATTCACAGTGAAATGGATTACAAAGGTATCAGATTAGACAGTTTTCATTATTACCTAACCTACTATATAAATTGTAATTAGGCATTTTGAACTGTTTCCTGATTCTTTTTAATGTTTTTGCAAGTCATGAAACAGTCAAAACTGTTTACCTGGTCACAGAATGAACTGTTGCATGGCTGAACTGTTCCATTATGACGTCATAATTAATTCCCCATACTTTACAGCTTTAATATTGAATTATGTATTAATTAAAGCATTTTCATTCAATTTGAAATTATCATCTGAAAAGTAATCCTGATATTTAATCAATTTAATATCATTTCGAAGAAGAGGCCATGAACACCTTTTCTGAGGGTAATTTGGGAAAAATGTAGGCCCCTTTCACTCAGTATAGTTCTTTGCCATACACGTGTAATATTCAAATCTTCAAGACATCATTATGTTGTTTACTACATGTTTTTTTTTCAATTTATTAGTGCATGATAATATCACATCCATTAATTTTTCTGAACACCAATCGGTGTGAGAATTTGATTAATAGTTTGTTTTTAAAAAATAATACATGTACAAACATTTGTCGATGTATTTTAAAGGCCATTGATTATTATGTCGATATCATTACTTTAAGAAATTATATAGTAGGTTAGGTAATAAAACACTTATTTCATGACTACGAGGGGAACAGTCAAACTGTTGTCCCTCGATAATGGGGAAGACCTGGGAAACTGTTGCCCTCGGCCTTCGGCCTCGGGCAACAGTTTCCCAGGTCTTCCCCATTACCTCGGGACAACAGTTTGACTGTTCCCCTCGTAGTCATGAAATAAGTGTATACTGTACCACACATACAAAAGTTAATAAATCAAAAAAAACAAAAAAAACAAAAAAAAAAAACATGTTTAATTTCAAATGAAGCAAAATGCACATGCACACAGATTTTACATGCAATAATGTTAGTATCTACTTATATACAAGTACATAATCTAGCATACATATGTATAAAGAAAGTCTGTTTAATGAAATTGTGCATGCAATTATCAAGCAATGATAATAACTGTACCAGACATTAGGGGTGATGGTATCATTCTGATAGGTCCAGGGGTGAGATCCATAAATAGCCTCAGAGTTGATCTTCAACCACTGTCCCATTTCCCTCAGCCTCTCCTCGAACACAGGGATAATCTTACCGTCACTGGTGGGACCCACATTAACCAGAATGTTTCCCCCACAGCTGAAAATCAAATATAAACTGCTTAACATGGCAAAGTTGATTTCATTGAAATTGTGACCATCTTTTAGTAAAGAACATTAGGATAAAAGGGGCTTGTACTTGGAGAGGAACAAAGTTTCGTGTCAGTGTTCACCATTTTACACAGATGTTTGCTTAACCTTCATCTTCAAGACTAACCTCAAGGTTAATGAAAACAACTTATTCACATAGCAAACACTTTTTGTTAATTTAAGTATGATCTAGATCGGTAAAATGGAAAAGAAAATAAGGTGCCAATAAGGATATCACACAGAATTCTGCTAAAGAAATCTGCCTATGAGTGATTTACCTGACTGTTTCCACAAGTGTTCCGATGAGCTCATCAGTGGTCAGAAATTCAGACAGCTTTGTATTTCTACGGTAACCCCAGGACTGCTTGTCAATTGTCATGGCATTTTCCCACTTTCTCTTTTGCAACTTCCCTGTATGTATGAAAATAAGGTTCTAAGCAACAAGAAAACTAATCAAAATACTAGTACTGTAAGTACTGATAGACAGTGGCATGAATGATTTTGTTTGTTTAAAGGCCCTCTCGAGAATTTCTCACTCATATTGAGACATCATTATTGCCGTTGGTGGGCTGCAAATTTAGATCTATCTCCAGGCCATTGAGTAGTGAGGGATCTTTTTCTGATCACCACTTACTGCGACACGGGACCTCGGTTTAACTGTCTCCACGTCCCGCATTGGGATTCGAACCCGCTACGTAAGGATCGACTCCTTCATGTTCCTGACTCTAGAGCAAACGCTAACCACTGCGCCACACGGTGACTGGCATTGAATGAGATAAAATATTATAAGAATCTGTAAAATGATATGATGGAAATTATGAAAGTTTATTGCAATTTTTCACGATAAGTTTTTTAATAAGTAAATTTATATTTCCGTAGTATAATGAGGACATGTATTAATTGGATTTGTTAATGTATTGCATGAAATTTTCTACATTAGGTATTATAAAATAAGGATTGAATAAAAAAAAAAACTATCCTGAAATGCCAGAAACGAAACTTCGACCATTTCAGGTTTTTTTCCTATATGTACTATTGTGGTGTGCAGTCATAATTGCAAATTTAAAAATGAAAACATATTTAAGGATGATGGACAGATTGAAATTATATATTCAAATAATGGATTTTGGGATGCTTTAGTATTAACCCCCCCCCCCCCAAATTAATGCTTGAAAGGTGTCAAAGGCAGTTTACCCTAAATGTTAAATCATAAGGGAATCAAGGTTCCTAATATGCTCATGTAGTGACTGAACATTTTCATTCTAAGATGCATGTTTTAAAAAAATGTGTAATGAAATCGTGGTGTTTTGAAGTTAGAAATCTTGACTTTATAATTTCAAATCTTTACTCAGTGATCAATAATCAAATTTTGCAACACCCGCCCCTCAAAAAAAATATATGAACAATTTTTTGTAACTTATAGGTAAAGTTTTTGAAATTTTAAGTAGAATTGAACCCACAATATTTTTTAACAAAAACTTACTTTTCATAAAGTATATTGTAAAAAGGGAAATGATGAATCACTTTTGGCCATGTACTGTAGACTGTGCGACATAAATCATATGCTGAAAGATAATGAAATAGACTTTATCCTTGGATTCCCATCTTTGCCAAATTCCCTGGCTGTAATTAACTTATTTCTAAAAGCTTGAGAGACTTCAGGAATTGTACAGAAGTCTTACTTCTTTGTTTGATATATACTGTTCAAAAAGAAAAAAAAAGAAGAACAGAAAAACAAAATATTTGTCAGCCCCTATTTCTCCATCGTCTCAAGCCAAAGTTCGGAGTCCACATATAGCTCTCTTCAGAATGGGAGAAGATCTTATATTTTGGCCGTGGTTTGTGACGATGCTATTTCTCATATGTAATCTTAATATGCACTGACCCTGCTTATTGCTGCTAGTCATTGCGCAATATGAAACTTAATTTGTGAACAAACGCAGAAGACTGACCTAAATTAAGCCCACTGAATTCGCAAGAAAATCCTAATATTTCATGCAAGAGTATTTTAGTCCCTTTTTTCTTACACTTTTTAAAGGGTAAATTTTATTCGAGGCACGATAGAATTTTCAAATACAAATGAACTATATTGTTAACTTTTGTCCGTCACAGTCTTTTTAATTATAACTTTGATAAATTAGCATTTGTTCAGTAGTTTTTGTGTCCGAGATAATTAGGCAATGGCTTATTATTATTTTATTTTAGATAGAATCGTAATAAACTTTGCAAATTTTATGGCATCGTATCTGCTCCAACAACTCTTTTATCAACTGACTATCGATAAGATGTCGTGATCTTTGTTTTTCTTTCCAAAATATATATAATATTTCTAATATATTATCGTCAACAGATATTAGAAATTCACACAATCAAAAGACATTGTAAAATTACAGTTAACTCTTAAAGTTTTATTGTATAAAAAAAACACAAAATGTCTCAAATAAAACATTTATAAAACACGCAATTCCGAAACAAGGATGTGCAGTCCTCGAATCATATTGTACTTTTGGAATTGGAGAAATCTGGAGATCGACGCTTTCCTAGCATGGAGTATCTCATAATTAGGGAGTATCGAATTGGGAACGTCTCGTAATTACCGTTTGTCGCATACATGTAACTAAGAAACCACCGTGCATGTGTTTAGCAATTTTAATTATTTGATTTCAAAGTTAAAATGTGAAACCATTATTCTCATTAGACAAATATTTTTCCCTTAAATATTCTGACTATTAATAAATATTATTTAAATTTTACATTAACACAAGGTTAAAAAAAGCCGTGTGATTTCTGTAGTTTGCATACGAATATACGAGTCAGTCTGTGTACGAATTAGTTGTAGGTCAGCGTAATTTAATGAATATTCATGTTGCGAGAAATATCGATAACGGCAAATATCAGGAATTAAGCTTTGTGCCCATCAACAAAATGTCTTTGAAATAACTTGAGAGTATTTGTTAACTATGTGCATTTTATTTTCAAACATTGAATCAACCCTATTTTCATTATTCTGACTCTGCAAAAATCGCCACTAGGGTCCCCTTGATTTTACACAGTTGTTATTTATATATATAGCCCAAAAGCAGCAGCAATAGCCTGTGGCTATAAATAGCCACCGTCTAAAAATGTTATTAATTTTCTTGAATAGGAAGTATATGTGAAGCTGGAACTAAGTCAGCTAAATCTCACACACATTATATTTATCAAATATTTCTCACCTGGGTTATACCTGTCAGAACAGGTAAGAAATCCTCCATGCTTGCACATAACCCCTTGGCCCCATCGATCATTGGTCACAACGTTCTCTTTGACAGGACTGCAAAAAAAGTTCTAAAGTGATTTTATTGTATACATGTACATGATTAACATTAATAACTCGGAGGTTCAGTACTGAACTTTTATTACAAAACCACAGTAATTTAAGCTTCATAACATTTCTATTTTAAGTAAGTTAAAATTTTGATCATTTCGTCTTTGAATCCAGCCTTAAAATAATCAACCAATATAATAAGTTTATTTCTTTTCCTGTGCACAAAATTTGTAATATATTTAAAATATATATATTTTTTTTCTTCAATTTATTAATAAAATTGTGTATCTGAAACCATAAAATTTCTATTTGATATAAGTTTTCCTTGCAAAACAAAAAAAATCTTAATCTTTCCACCTTTGAATAAAATGGTGAAAAAAGAGCAAACTTTCACAGGAAAAAAGCTAACTTCATGAGCGACAGAATTTTGACCTAGGATTATTCTAACCTATCATTGTACAGCCAGGCTATGAAGTTTGTCGAGTTCCAGTAAGTGTCTGGTGCTTCCCAATCCCCGTCAGACCAGATCACATCTGGTTTGTACCGGTTCACAATCTCATACAGCTCCAGCATTGTTTTACTCTAAAAAAAATCATTCAAAATGTTCGATAAAAAGTGAGTTTTAAAGCTTTTGCACAAAACTTACAAATTTGTATTTACAGTTTAACTCTGATATCTTGAACAGTGATATATTGAAAGTCCCAACCCTTCATTCTTAAAGTATTCTACCCTGGATATCTCTAATCCTCTGATATCTTGAAGTTTAATTTTGATATCTTGAACAGTGATATCTTGAAAGTCCCAACCTTTCATTCTTTAAGTATTCTACCCTGGATATCTCTAATCCTCTTATATCTTGAAGTTTAATTTTGATATCTTGAACAGTGATATCTTGAAAGTCCCAACCCTTCATTCTTTAAGTATTCTACCCTGGATATCTCAAATCCTCTGATATCTTGAAGTTTAATTTTGATATCTTCAACGGTGATATCTTGAAAGTCCCAACCCTTCATTCTTTAAATATTCTACCCTGGATATCTCTAATCCTCAAATATCTCAAAGTTTCTTCTTGGTCCCATTGAGTTTGAGATAACAAGGTTTGTCTGTATATATTTTACATTTCAAATCCTTAAAAGTACTGGGTGTTAAGTTTACAACAGAATCAATGATAACATAAAGCAGGACATATATACTTCAATATCTTTTTCATGCCTATTGAATCGTACCTCCACAAATTTCTGAGTCTGCCATTTGTTGGCTTTGTCCTGTAGATACTGAGGATGGAACCATTCAAACAGAGAATGATACAGTCCAAAAAACATATCAGTTTGATTTCTGATGGCTGTAGCTAGCTCTCCTTTAAAAGCCATAAATACGCAAATGTATACTTTTTTTTCATTTTTATTTTTTTTTTTTTGAATTATTTGTTTGCTAAAGATAAGCACATGGACATTCAAGGTTTCTCAGATTTTTTATGTATTTCAATAAGTTAAACACTGTAAAACTACTTAATTTGGTGAAATCCATGTTCAACTTCAAACATATTCTTAAAATTTACATATACATGTTATTAGTAGGAAAAAACATGCAAGCATATTATTCATTTAGTGTACTATAAAATAGTCAAAACCAAAACAGTTTTCTGTCATTGAATTTTTTGATACATGTAACTTCCATTACCCACAAGATCTCTGGCTGGTCCCACGTCTTTGGAGTTCCAGTTAAATGAGAACACAGATGGCCAATTAGTGTATCCTTCATGGTGTTTGCTCGTTAAAACAACATATCTGAAATGTTTTAAAATATATGTATGTCAATCATTATGCACTGAACTTGTTGTCTGAAGGGCAAATAATATTGACTACAATAGACAATGGACTACTAGTAGATGTGCACTTTATTGCAAGTTTGCAACTCTGTGTTAGCAAATTACAATGGACTATGCCTTTATGGAAAAATTCATGTGCATTGCTCAAACTACAATGCAGCAAATATATTTTCTGCCAACTTTGCAAAATCAAACTCAGTCTGATTCACCTTGTCTGAAGCCTATCACTTTTGTATTTATTAAATAATTGTTATCTTTTGTTTTTTGTTGTTGTTGTTGCTTAAATGAAATAAGCCACATACAGCTTAAAATGTTTCTCTCTCTGTCAAGCACCTTTAATACAAAGTTAATAAAGCTTACAACTTTCTACATATTTCTATTGATAAAATTGTTATATATCATTGATTTAGTGGCATGTGTCATTGCAATGCTTACAAACATTGAATTTGATCTTTGGATAGCATTGTTTTTGAGAGATTATTCTCCTTTCACTGCTAAGCAAATTGATCATAAAATCAATTCATGTCTGTATTTAAATACGTAGATATTTCCATGCCTTTTGTCATGATTAGAAAAATACATACATTTCCAAGTAAATAAGTTTATATATATATATATATATGTATATATATATATATATATATATATATATATATATATATATATATATATATATATATATATATATATATATATATATAGATATATACAGTACAGGCCACGAGTTTTCCCCGAAAAACACGGGGCCCCGTAAACCGAAAGTCCACGCTTTAGCGTGGACCTCGATCAATGTCGGCGTCTTTGAAGTTAGGGTGTCTGCGCACCGTGTAACACGGTGTGTACGCGCGGTGTATCACAGTGCCCCATTACGATATCACGCAGAACTTATAATAAAAACTTTTCATTTCTTTATTTAATCAGTTATATCAATTTCCTTTAAAATCAGATTTTTTTTCACTTTTTTCTTAAATATTACTACTTCTTTACCGATATACAGATGTTTGAACAAATAGGATGCCACAAAATCTAAGATACACGTGCTCTTGTCCAGCAAAATACAAACTCTTCAAAATGTGTACGTACATCCATGTAAGTCACGTTTCAAAAACCTAACTATACGAGAGAAAAAATATGACTGTTCAATAGTCAGACTATTATTATACTACGAAGGAATACACTTTCGTAAATTAATTACCTGGTTGTCTTTTCTCTCGATTATAACTGCGTTCATTTAAATTAGTCATTTCCGTAACAAGATCTCTTTTACCGTATGTATGCATTCATATGTGGTATTTATCATTTCATTTCATTTTATTCACTCACACCAACATCAGTGGTACATGAGGTACAATAAATTAGTCGTCATAATTGTGACAAAAATAATAAATATAATTATGATACAATAGCATAAATGAGGGGCATATACATATGTACATAGTATAGCAATAAACATACAATGAAAGAAGAAAAGAAGAAAAAAAAATGGTATGATAACATTTAAATTATGGAGGACAGACGGTGTCGTTTATTTTAGATATAAATATACAAAGGTTTTTTTAAAGTTTTTAAGTTTGTCGTTGACATAATTTCAGAAAACTTAAGTGTATTCGGCGTTTTACAAAATCTGGGATGTAAAAGATTCTTTCTGATGCTGTTCAATGTTTTACATTCTAGGATGAAATGATATTCGTCTGCTATTTGCCCTGTATTACACAATTTACAAATTCTTTCATCCAGTGGAATATTTAACCATCTACCAGTTTCAATTGGGAAGTGGTGGTTTGAAGTTCTAAATTTTATTAGTATTTTTTGGAGTTTACTAGGTAAAATACTTAGATATTTTTCAAATCCAAAATCACTCTTAAAAATTTTGTAAATTTGACCTTTTGATGAATTATTTATATCACTATGCCATTTTTGAATAAATTGGTCGCTTAATCTTTGCTTCACTGCTGCAAGTACCCAATTCCTGTCAATGGGACTTTGTTCATACCAAATGTTGGAGAACCCACAAGAGGTTAAAATTTTATAAATGAAATCTACCCATAGGTTTTTTGGACCTCCTTGAAAATATTGAGAACATAGATATTTATACAAAACACAAACTATTTTGTTTTCTAAAGAATTCGGGGTAAGTAATTTTAACCAGTAGGAGATCATTCTTGTATAAATATTAATATACAATGGGAATCGCCCAGTCTCCCCATACACCATATACGAGGGCGTACTACTCTTTAAATGGAAAATATGTTTTAAAAATTTTAAATGTACACGTTCAATGATGTCGAGATTTTCATAACCCCAAATTTCACAGCCATAAGTCAAAATTGGAACAACAACTTTATCAAAAAGATCTAACTGACATTCAATTGGTAAGTTAAATTGTCTTATCTTCCTTATAACACCATACATTGCTTTCTGTGCTTGTTCACATAAATGTTTTTTGGCCTTACAAAATGAACCTGAGCGTGAATATATTATCCCAAGATACTTGAATTCTTTTACATTTTCAATTGCATTATTATTATAATAAAATACCTTTTTTGACATTGGTCCTTTAGAAAACACTAGAATTTCTGTCTTACTAACATTAACATTAAGTTTCCATTGTGAACAATACAAATAAAAATCATCCAAAGCCTTTTGCAGATCTACATCTGTTTCAGCCAAGATAACAGTATCGTCTGCATATAACAAAATGAAAAGCTTAAGATACACATATAATTCTTCTTCAATAGCGTCAGTTATGCTTTGTAAACCAATAATATTTCTGTCCGAGAGAAACTCTTCCAGGTCATTAATATATAAGGAAAATAAAAAAGGCGATAGATTTTCACCTTGGCGAACACCAACATTACAGTTAAAATAATCTGTGATTGTGCCATTCAGATTTATCATAGATTTAATTCCTATATACATATTTTTGATGTAGTTAAAACATTTTCCACTAACCCCACTCTTAAATAGCTTATACCACAATCCAGATCTCCAAACCGTATGCATGGTTTATTTTATAAATCATTTTCTACGTAAAAAGAATTCAAGAAAAAAATATGCATCTAAATAAATAAAATCAAAAAACGTGTCAGATACACACACATGAACTCTGCTCTCTGATTATTACTCGCGAATTATACTTTCGATTAAGGATTATTACAATCTGTAATCATGTAAAATATGGAGATAAATATCACAAACACACAAAAAGCCGACTTTTGGTAACTCAAATCTGCTTTTCAACTACTGTACAAATATTACCTTATTCTGAGATTATTTTATGAAAAATGTGTCGTACGGTTTAAGAAAAAACAAAACAGTTAGCGAATGTAGAGCGGGGATGTATAGAACAAAGCTTCTCCTGGTCAAAGTATTATCATGTTAAGGAAGAGAAAAAACCAACTAGCCTCTTTCAAGCTACATGCATTATGTTTGCTACTCCCCCCCAATCTCGCTTCTCGAAAGTGATATGATTCAGCTAATTAAAAATTAATCGAAAGTCTATGGATTTATATGTTACATTACTGTGAAACAAAACAGTCATAATCTATTTATATGTGTCTGAAAAAGGACAATTTACAAGTAAGATTAAAATCTTGACAAGTCAAAGTACACGTGTGGTGGACTGGTGGTGTAACCTGGTAGATGAATTCGACTGGAAGTCACTTGAGTGTGTTATACACATGATATGGTCAGGACGAAAGAATTTGAAAGGTGTGATAAACACACAGCGCCCCGGCCCTCCGGCTGTGCCCCAATATATTTTAAAGAAAGGTGTAAACTCGGAACTGACCATAAGAATGTTTCAAATCACAAGAGAATTACTTTCCGCGTAAACAAACTTTCAGGGCCACCTAGCGTTGTACCTGTGAGATTTTGATTGACAGGTAGAGCACGAGGATTTCGTGTGTTACGGAGAACAAAATGATTGAACACATGTTGTACATGTAATTGAGTTGAATATGAAACGAAGTTATGGAATTTAAATAGTATAATTTATAGAATGGTTAATTGTGACTTTGGTAATGTAAATAAAACGATGAATTAAATTTAAAAGAATCTCAGTCTCTCTCTCTCTGACATTGTTTCTTTGCACACTTTTCATTCAAATAAAAACTTATTAAATACTTACACTGAAAGGATTCTAAAAGCATAAATACTAGTTTATGAAAAGATAAAGACAATCGTCTGTTACGAGAAATACTCTTGGACATTATAAAACGAAATTTATTTATTATTTTTTTACAGATTTATGCGAAAGGGTCTCTCTCTCTCTCTCTCTCTGACATTATTTCTTTCAACACTTTTCAATTAAAGACAAATTTATTACATACTCACACTGAAAGGATTTTCAAAATACTAGTTTATGAAAATCTGTTACAAGAAATACGCATATTATTGTACACAGGGATTTCGTATTTTTGCTGTCGATTCTCGCTTATAAATTCAGAATGATATAAGATTAACAACATAAATGTGCTCTACTCAGGAGTATAAAATTAATTAATGCTTTGATTGTGTACTAAAACAACTGCAGCTCGGATCGTATACTACATGTAATGCAGATCGATGGATCATGCTATTTAGTCTTTCTTCGTTGCATGAGCACATGGAATTAAATTCTTCGGACATTAAAAATTTCAATCCAAATTATAATTTTAAAAGTAACTAAATAACTTTACTAAAATTAAATACCATTTAAATTTTCTGCTACCGATATTTAATTAATCCTACTACATGTGTCATTAGTACGATTCATAGCACAGTCAATGTCTTCTAGATTTTAAAACGATAATTATACATATAAATCAAAGTGATTAATTGTTTTTAAATTTTAAAGTTTTTATCAGAACCAAAAGATTATCTCTATAATGTTATGGACACGGTGCGACACGGAGGGAATTTTCTGGGCACGATGCGGCACGGAGCATTAGCTGGGATTTTTCTAGACACGGTGCGGCACAGTGTGCCTACCTGTGTATTTCAAATCCACACACACCGTGCTACACCGTGTACACGGTGTAACACAGACCATTTCACACGGTGTGTTTTCCACCGTGCGACGGGGAAAACTCGTGGCCTGTACTGTACATGTATATATATATATATATATATATATATATATATATATATATATATATATATATATATATATATATATATATATATATATATATATATCCTATCATAATTTCCTGCAAGTTAAAATCATAAACACATCCATATTACAAGTAAAAGGATTATATATCCTTTACATTCTTACGTCATGTAAGTTGAGGTAGTTGTTTGTTTTGTGTAGATATAAAGGATACTATTCAATGTTTTGTAGGAGCACTAGTGAAAACATCAAAAAATCCTCTCTCACATGTGAAATAAATTCCATATTCAACTACAAAATATGGAATTTTCTGTTTATTACATTTTCTGTGATTTTCCATTTGCCTCTGTCTTTTTATAACACACTGTCATAGGCTGTGACGTCATAGTTAAGTGTTTGAGACGTCATAGCTAAGAGATAGCAAGATTGAAAACATTGTAAACATGGATTTCTTAGTCTTACAACATATTTGGGGAAACTTTGGCAATTTTAATCTGTCAGGATAGTTTATTTACTCTCTCTATTTTATAACAGGCCAGGGAGTAGTTTTCACAACATTCTTCCTGAAGGGAAAAAAAATCAAGTGTTTTGTTGCACTTCTGATATTCTGTCACACTGGGACAGAATATCACTATGATATTATTTTTCACTGTGACAACATATCACTTTTATTGAATAAATAAATTACAGTATTTCACTGTTAAAAATTGGATAAACTATTTTAACAAAAAATGTTTTTAACATGCTTACAAATACAAAGGATTAAGTCTGTGTGCATCTTTATAAGTAAGTTAGTTGTATCTATAAATTTAAACTAATACATTAAGCAAATTCCTTACTGTGCCCCAGAAGCTTGGAAAATCTCTGCCCATTCTGAGGCATTAAAGAATTCAGCTCTAAAATCTTTAGCAAAATCTGCATAAGTGAAATCGGGAGGGTAGTTCGCTTTCATAAATTCTACTGCACTGTTGGTTTTCACCCCTTCCCAGTCCCACCAGAACCACTCCGACTCAAAACTCGGCACAGAAAACACTCCCCAGTGAATAAATATCCCAACTTTTGCTGCATCGTACCAGGGAGGTAATGGACGGGAATCTAGAGAGTCCCAGTTCGGCTCATATCTCACTGACAATGCTGAAAATAATATCAAACACAAAATGAAAGTTACTGTTACGATGTTGCGCGCCATGTTTAATTCATGTGACTTGATCAATATCACGTGATGTTATAGGATATAGAATCTAACCTGTTCATCTCATTTCCGGATTCTTAAAATATCTATTTGTAGAAAAGGTGAGTGGTTTCATTTCAATTGACTCTTTAGAAAAAGGTGTAACTAGGAGATTTAGAAACGAAAACTTTCAATTTCTGCTCTCTGTCCACAATATACATGAGTCAAATGATGTGATGTTCGCAATGAAACCACTGATTGATTAGATGCGCGCATTTTATTTCAATTATTGATCTCATAAATTCACTTGAGCGCGCATCAATTCAATTGTTGAGCTCAACAATGTGAAGAATTCTTGTTCTCAAAAATTACTTTTAAAATTAGACTTCGGTATCTTTACAAGATTTTGATGTAGGACCGAATTTAGGCCACATTCTCTAAGTAATGCAAAAACCCCCTTTTCCCACCAAGATGAACTTTGTGTTATGGTCTGGAATCAATGGACATCCAGGTAATGGATGTCTTGTCCTGTTGATAACTGACATTTTATTAATAATTCTATTTTCTGATTGAATGTTCTAAATAAAACTCAAATGTATTCATCATTAAAGTGTTAAATATTTATTAACAATAGGCCCAAGGGCCATAACGGTCACTTATATTTAAATGTGCAATTGTTTATTAAGATATCTGGTCGTTTTTGAATTTATATATTTAGATTCATTTGTACATACTACATCAAATCAATTTTGAACATGCATAGCCTATGTAAGCTGATAATCATATTGACCTTTGGTTCCAGTGTAGTTTAATTTTTAACATTATTTTGTGTGATGAATTGTTATAAAGGAGAGGACGTTCTAAGTTTTATGAACTTGTGACCGATCCTTTTGTTGTAATATCTAAACAATAAAATATGTTCAAATGGTCACTTGAGTATAATACACCACTGTAGTAAAAAACAAATCAAAATAAACTGAAAAAAGATGAAGCTATAATGCCCAAAAGCAAGAGAAATAGGATGATCAGGGATCAACAAAATAATTAGTAAAGTAATAAATAAGACATTTTAAAGTACGCAGATCTATTTACTTGCCTGTGCTTGCCCCAGTTTGTCACTATTCATAGTATTAAATATCACAAAAATTCATATATACATGTAACCCTCTTATTCAATTGACCGTTCAATTACATTATTAACAGTGATCAATTATCATGGGTGAATAGAAATGGGAAATACTTATAATTTTTCTCAGTAAAATACAAATCAATAGAGTCCTGCCCAGCATCAAAACATTAAGCAAGTGGTCCAGAATTTCAAAAAAATATGGTACAAATACCTTGATTATTACAATTTTGTATTCTGTTTGCTCCTGGATGCTGTGGTGCAGAGAAGATTTGCAAAGAAATAATACATTTTCACCAAACATTCAACACAGTCCCACCCTTAAACTAGAACCAATGACCAAGGAGCCATGAAAATCAAAATCATGTGCAATGTTAGAGGCACACATGCTCATCATAATTATGCACTTAGTAGAAAATTTTCAAAGAATTAATGCATTTTCAATACATAATCAATAGAGCTCCACCCTAACACCAAACCCCTCGCCCTGGGGACATTAATTTTACAATTTTGAAAGAAGCACCCTTGCTCATCATAACAATGCATTTAGTTTGTTTGCTTAATTAATACCCGGGAGCAGAGAGAAAGGTTTTCAAAGAAATCATGTAATTTCACAATATAATCAATATAGCTCCATCCTAACGTCAAAGCTACTGAACCAAGGGCCCAGAAATTCACAATTTTTAAAGAGGCGCCCTTTCTCATCAAGTAATTTTGCTAAATACCTAAAGGCAGAGCAGATGATAATCAAATAAACAATGCATTTTCACAATATGTATTCAACAGAGCCCCACCCTAACACCAAAACCCAAGGGGCTATAAATTTCAAACTTTTGGAAGAAACACCATTGTTCATCATATCCATGCTATCTGCTGAATACCAAGGAGCAGAAAAGAATTTCAAAGAATACATGCATTTTCAATATATAATCCATAGAACCCCGGCCTAACACAAGAACCCCCTACCCAGAGACCATGAAATTCACAATCTTGGAAGAGGCACCACGCTCATTATGAAAAATGCATTTGGTTTGATTGCTTAATATCAAGGAGCAGAGAAGACGATTTCAAAAGAATACATGCATTTTCAATATACAGTACCCGCATCGTTATTCTTTACAGGATACACGATACGATAGGATACATGCACGATACGATAGGATAAACGCACGATACGATAGGATACACGCACGATAGGACAGGATACACGCACGATAGGATAAACGCAAAACACGATAAACGCAAAACACGATAGGATTGTTTCAAAATGCGAAACGTTTTTTGACATGACGAAAAGTTTTCTTTTTGATATACTATAGTATGATAATTTTAATTACTTACAAAGCCGCAAATTGAAATAATAAAACATTTTAAATTTATCCTGATAAAACATTTGAAGTAATTATGCTTTGTAACAGATATGGTGTTTTTGTCAACAAAATTGATCGTCATCAAATTTAAGCTGTAATCATTTTAAGAAGATGGAAATTAGGCGATTTTTTGGTGTAATTATACAAATGTCGAAATTCCTTCGAATCGTTAAATTTGAATTTTGAGTCCGTAGACAAGCGAAGTTTTACACCCAAGTGCAATAAATTCACGAAACGCTATAAATATATTCATTATATTAACAAATAAAACCTTATGAAATTCATAACAAACATTGATTATTTTTACGGAAAAACATGTAAAAAAAAAATGAAATATTTGGATTCAATATCTTTTGTTAGAAGTCTGCGAAGTATCCAAAATCGCCTTTAATAGTTTGTATTTAATAATTCAAATCTTACAAAAAAAGAAGAAGAAAAAATAAATAAATAAATACTAGTCATAATTTAGGAGGGGGGGGGGGTATTGAAAAATTATTGTTATAATTATTTAAGGTTAATGCGTTCTCCTCCAAGTTTTTACGAATTTGATTTATATTTTATATAAATTAATTAATTTTTTTTTTACGATTTAAAATTGCTGAAATTGCTAGTTGCATTGAGACAGACCGTGCACTGGACTGTGAATAATTAATCTCTCCTATATATAAATATATATGTCACACATATCCCGTGCACATAGAAATTATTTACATATTCCAAGTACATTCCAAGTACATACATTGTATATGTATATATGAGGAAGAAGACTTGCGAAAAAAATCGAATTTAATAAAATTAATAAACGTCACTAGATCTGTCATCATCTATTATTCGAAAAAATATCGCATTTCCATTCTTTTGTATTTATTTTGGTATTTTTATAGGCCTGTAAGATTAAGCTAGAAGGGAGCACGAGTCGCATAAATAAAAAAAATGTTACAGTGTACCAGCATGTGTAGTATACAATAATAATATAATGCTTATATAATATTACCCATCGACAATAATAATGTCTTTAGCCATTTTTGTTTGCTTTTCAAAACATTTCTTTTTAGACCCCACCCCGCTACCCCCGGCCGCTCCCAAAGAAATGATATTTCTTAGCGTGCTTGTGTTATATGCATTTACAATAACAGAATTTGTATCTACTATAGATACGTGTAAACTAAGCTCACAGCGTATATGAATATATTTATTGAATACTTAAACTTTGTATTAAATAACATTGAATGGTTACGTACACTTGTTTACAACATATTAGAACACACACAAAAAATAAATAATAAATCAATTTCCACAATTTAACAAATGGATTTTCGGATTGAATAATTGTCAATTATTGCTATTAGACTTTGTAATAATTGTTACAAACCTTATCTTATATAGGACGACATCGGCAAAATTAGACAAAACTTTGTAAATTATGAAAGTCTTAACCTCTTTTGAGGCACAGTCAGCGGGGAAGGGGGGGGGGTCCATAATCCCCCCCAAAAAAAAATCCGATTCAAAAAGCCAAAAAAAAATTATAAATAAATAAATAAAAATAAAATAAAAATATATATTGACTTCTTCAATATAGTCACGTATTATATGCAATCGATAAACACGAATAAAATTAAATAAAAGGTATTTACCAGTCTTGTGTATCACCGCAGAACCGGGCGATTTTTTTTTCATGTACCTTTGAGACGCCTTTACATGTAACAACGACAGACAACACAGAAAACCCTAAGATCCAGAAGTATCGCAAGCGCATTTTTTTTTGATTTGATCACACCAATCAAACCTATAAAAATTACATAAAAATATACAAATGAACTAAATCAACGGAGTTTGGAGGACAAACCTCGCCTATATTTTATTTGATTCAATTATTCAATTTTTAATCTGTAACGGAAGTGTACATTTACCAATTTTCTTAGTATAAAATCTTTAATTGTTAATTAAGTGTTGTTCATAAAAATTATGAACAATATCCAGAAAATAAGTAGATGCATTTCATTGAAACCCAGTAGGGTTCAAGGTAAATACTTGACACCAGATGAGAGCCAGAGTTCAGGTATGTCTACGTTGAATACACACGGGCCGGTCATGTAGGGGAAAAGGAGGGGGGGGGTCTTCACTTGACAAGAAGACAGTGTATTGATTAGGCAGGTACATGTAGATGTCAGTTCTTTTGTCACGGGAGCGCTTCCGTCTGTCACTAAGTTACGGTATAAATATTACTTCATCTCCGCGTCGAAGTAGGTAAGATGTATAATAAAAATTTGTGTGGTTTTGTTTATTTACTTATTTATTTTTTTACATCTTCTAAATGCAGTAGTTAAATATGAATGGCAAACATCTATATTATAATATATACTTATCAGAGAAAAATAATAATACAAAGGAACAACAAAACTTGCGCGCATAGACAAAATTTATGCTTCCGTTATTGATAAAAAGGATAGCCTTAATAAAGATACTGCTATTTTTTTATTCAAAATTTATTTTTTGCACACATACCTAATGTTTTATGTTTC